GCCACTATGCTCAGCGTAGTCGATTACCTATAGTCCATGGCATTTTGAGATTCCCAGAGATGTCTGCTCGGAGATAGACACGTGCTCGGGGAAAGTGAGCCCTGTCCGAACGACGATAGCTAGAGAGCCGGAACTTGCATAATTTTGTAGAGTAACGTCAAAACTATCTACGCATGCAAAAAAATTACTAACATTGTATGTTAGTTTTCTGAGAACGGAGCTGGTTTTCCAAAGATCCTCTGAAAATCCGAACTCTGGAATTTTTTGCTTCCGCTTGTGAAAAGTTCTGCTCAAGTATTGGCTATTGAACAGCGAAAATCGCAGATCTCTATCTCATTCCTATCAAAAGTTATTCAAAAAATGCCCACGGGTCTTGTGTTTTGGGATGGATAGTATATATCTTTGTATCATATTTGTTTTAACGGCATTTTGCAAGCTTTTGCTGATGATCAATGTAACGTCGGTGGTAAAATCAGCAAGTTTTCCTAACTTTTCAATCATCAACGTTTCGAGCTTTGACGATAATTCGTTCAGTGGGATAGTAGGCATATTGAATATACCGTTATTAGAATCGTCGTCATCTATCTTGCTTGCTCTTATGGCAATTCCGAATAACACGCAAAATCTCCGGTTCTAACTCGACTTGTTTTTGAAACAAATCTTGTACTTTTTCGGCAGAATGTAATTAACTTTTCTTTCGTCGGAGCAGACAGCTAATAATTTTAGAAAGGATTTCATTGTATCACGTTTGAGTAACATCGGTAACAAATCTTTTCGACAAGTATTACTCTGTACAGTAATAAATTGAAAGACTGAGGTGACCTATGAACAAAGATAGTTTATAGTACTTCACAACTCAATTCAGCATATAAAGTTACATACTCTGTTTAGAAGCATACCCAGTTACAACGCATATACGTCAAAATCGCCCAAACACTCTTTGATTTCAGCTTCAAGCGTCTAGAGATTACATGTGCCATTGGCGTTTGTAGGAGATTTGATTAAATTACGTTTTGAGCCACCACTCGATATGTAGTCTCCATATCGTATACGTTGAATTTCACATTGAATCAAAAAAACATGCTCATACTCTTGTGCGGCCAATAGCCATGTGAGTTTGAATAAATTTGCTGCATCGATCATTTGCGGCTGAGACGAGTACTGTGTTAGAATTATTTCCCAAACCGGAATGAACGATAATAATGCATCACGATCGATCACGTACCACGAGGAATTGTGCGAGTACAACGCTTGTATGAATAAATCTAAATTATAGCACGGTGGACCGATACATTGAATTTTTCGCGTTATTGTTGCTGTGCGTGTGATCTTCTCCTTCCCTTGTTTCTTCGCATTTATCTCAAACGATTCAACAGACACATCGGGTCCACCACTGAACCCCATAAACGATCCACCGACACTTGCCGCTGCACTCATCGATTTTGCGGCTAGTGTTTCCAATCATTGTACATCGGACTCTTCTTTCGTTTCGACTATCAACGGAAGCCGAAAACGCATTAGCCGGTGTCCATACTACGCAAAAGCGCAAACGAACTGACGTAAAAAAGGATTTTTACGTCAGTTCCACTCACATGTGAGGACGGAATTCAACACGTTAGAGGAATATTTATGCGTACAGTCGTAGCCGAAACGAAAGAACAGACCGGTGTACAATGATTGGAAACACTAGCAGCAAAATTGATGAGTGCATCGGCAAGTGTCGGTGAATCGTTTATGGGGTTCAGTAGTGGACCCGGTGTGTCTGATGAATCGTTTGAGATAAATGCGAACAAATAAGGGGAGGAGAAGATCTGACAAGCATCTGGTCTTCTGCCTTCATCCTCACAATATCAAACGATATATGATATTTTAATTCATATACTCACGAGGGAACCTATCCAACTGTCGGACGCCGTTTGACTCCATATTTTGGCTATAAGTAGGACTCAGTGAGACTAAGAAAATCCTAAAAGGGTTCGGGCCCATGACTCTTGAAGACCCCGTT